GGGAGGGCTAACGTTAGCTGTCTGAAGCAGCCCTCTCTCTGTATAGCCGTGTGTGAGGGAGGGCTAACGTTAGCTGTCTGAAGCAGCCCTCTCTCTGTATAGCCGTGTGTGAATGACCGCTGGTTCTGATGAATGTTTGATTGTTTTATTTGGCAAAAAAATCTGACTGTGTTCATCATTATTCCCCCAATAAACGAGAAAAGTCATCATTTATTATTATCTAGAGAATATTAATAACAGGAGGTGAAATGCAGCTCCATACGAGCTTTTAATGTGGTGATGTCATCAGTACGCTTCTGTTCCAGTTGACCCAGGTTTATGCTGCGTGCTCCCGTTCTCCAAGAGTCTAGGCTTTCCTGGGTTCTAGTCAAGAACAGACTTGGCGAGGAAACAAGTCCGTCCTCGTGTTCTAGTGAATAGAACACGAGGACGGACTTCTGGTTTCAGAAGCTGCACAGACTCAGACTCAGGAAGTTCGGCTTTAATCTATTTTTAACAACTTTTCCTCATCTTTCAAATGTGGAAAATTGTTTCAGTTCTTGGTTCCCAGAGACAGAAATTAAAGAAAAAGTAATCACAGCGTCCTCAGACCGACCAATGAGAGGAGATTCACTGCTCTTAGCTGCTGGAAGGGAATAAAAGCAGAATATACCGTCCAGTGAAGTGATCGGAGCGCTCTCACTGTTCCACCAACATAAACATTCATTCTCACGGCTTTTTATGTCACTAATTTTGATGGTTTTCTGCTGACGGCTCTGTGGGAGCAGAGATCACGGCCTGGAAGCTCCAGATCAGCCTCTGATTGGTCGACGCGCCGAGCTGTAAAAGCTCAGATCTTCCAACTTCATCATCTTTGGAAACGCGTCACTAAATGCGCCTTATTATCCCTCATCATGATGCTGGGCAGCAGAAACTGTAGAAATGGATTATAATTAGATAAATATCTGCATATTTATTATATACATACATCCTGTTGGTTAAAATCTATGCATCATAGCTCTATGCTCAGCGTCAGTCTCCCATGTTTGCTCCTCAGACTGCAGCGCCGCTGTTTTCTCTCCTGGGGATCCGGCTGGAAGGTTTCATCCCTGCCATCGTCCTTCCTCTGCTGCTCACCATGGTGAGAAGGTCCCCGCCTACTTCCTGCTCCGTTTGCTTTGTTCGTCCAAAACACTAAAATATTCACCTTTTATCATAGTGAACTTCATTCATTTAGTGAGTCGTTGAAAAGGAAAAAGAATTTAAATGCTGGTTAGATTTTAAAAAATCCTGATTTTTATTAGTTTTTTGTTTTCTTGTAATGAAAGTAACTGTAATCAGCTCTGGTTTAAAGTCAAATGTTGCATCATCCTGATGGCCGCTGGTCTGTGAGAAATTAAATCTAATCTTAACTCATCTAAAAATAAAGTATTTGCCTTTAATTATGGATCTGCTAATGAAATTAGATGATTGCCGTATGATGATTTCCAGACTATGAGCCGCTGCTTTTTTCCCACGCTTATGATCCATGCGGTTTATTTTTAGACGCTGCAGCTTTTCTGGGGGGATTTTTCCTGACAGCCAGAGGAGGAGGTCAATGTTAGATATGAAAGAGGCTAATTTTCTTTTAGCTCAACATGCTAATAAATGCAGCAGGGCATTAATTGCTGCATTAAAGCTGCTGAACCAATGAAGAGACTGAGATCAACTCCTGCTGAGCTGAAATAAAGAGCTCCAACTTTCAGGAGAAGCTCTAACTGCTGCCAGCTAACAAGCTAACAGGAGCTAGCATCTTTCTTCCTCCCTACTCCAGGGCCTATATGTACAGCTCCCCCTATAGGTTGGGTGAGAAACAGTTCAGTAGATATCAGCGGCTTAAATCCATGGGAAATCATCATATTTAAATGTCAGAATAATTTCCTTTCCACAACCAAAAAGCTTGCGAACTTTATTTATCGGAGTTCACTGCGACACACGCAGACAACCTGGTTTCTGAGCATAAATCAGGCTTTGTAGCCCGGTGTGGCTCAAAATGAGGTGCCTCTATAGTCCTGAAAATACGGTAGATTTGATGCTCGTTAGATGCATGAAAGCAGCTTTTTTTCTTATTTTAACCCATAATCATAATATTTTGTTGGTTAATAGTCTAAGTGGCTCAAATCAAAGAAAAACACCTTAAAAAAAAAGACTTCTTTGTCTTTAAATGTTTGTTTGATCTGAAGCCGAATGTAATAAGCAGATATTAAAGTTAAGCTGTGGCTAAAATGGAGGACGCCCTCCAGTTAAAAAAAGGAAAGGTTTGACATTTTCTGAAGTCAGAGGAGACGCAGGTTTACCTGCTCACTAACCTCAAAGAAGGAGGTGGTTTAGCGGCTTTGGTTCAGCTAGCATTGCTGCTAGCATGTCGTTAGCATTTAGTTTAAATTTATTTGAATTGGATTTAATTTTATTATTTAATGTTGTGTTTTACAGTTTAATGGAACATGTGGTTTATTAATTAGACTGACTTTTCTCCCTGTAAACAGCTTTAATGGTTGTTTTTAAAAGAAACTTAAACATACGTCTTTGGTGTCTTACATTAAAGCAGTTTTTAATTTTTCTATTTACTTCAGACCTGTTTTCAGATCCGACTCGGTTCGTAGAAATGATCCAGTCTGTTATTCTGTGTATCAAACTGAACTCCTACGGTTCTGTAGGTCCTGTTTCTCGGCCCGCTCATGCAGCTCGCCATGGACTGTCCCTGGAGCTTGATGGACGGGATCGGCGTGGCGCTCGGTGAGTCATGGAGATTCTTGTTCTTCATCCTCTTCTTCTGTTTTTGGAAACTTTAATCCACCAATTTAAGGAGAAAACACAACAGAGCTGCAGCAGTGTGTTATAGCAGCATGTTAGCTCGGAATCTTAGCACACCATGTTAGTGCAGCATGTTAGTGCAGCATGCTAGCACACCATGCACACGCTGCATGTTAGCACACCATGCACATGCAGCATGTTAGCCCGGAATCTTAGCACACCATGTTAGTGCAGCATGTTAGCACACCATGCTCATGCTGCGTGTTAGCACACCATGCTCACGCTGCATGTTAGCACACCATGCTCACGCTGCATGTTAGCACACCATGCTCACGCTGCATGTTAGCACACCATGC